GCTTCCCAGAGGTTTGGTTTTCCAAGAATGAATCATGAAGATAATCAGTGGAGTCAGGAACATAACAATGCGCAAGTATCTGTTTCTTCTGGTATTAAAACTACAGAAGTGTTAATTTAAGAAAAAGATTAAAAATCTATTTAAGAAGTTAAAGTTTAATGGACCTTAATTTGATGTCTTATTAGCAAGAACTGGTGACACAGTTAGAAGTTGTATGTTGCAATGTTGTGTTAATTAAATTCTTGTTTCTACAGCTTGTCTCTGGTATCATGATGCTGGGCAGCCGAGTATTCCAACTGAGGTAAAAAGAACAGACTCTAATGAATAGCTGAGACTGTTACACAGTACAGTAACTTGATCTTCCTCCTGATCCACCTGACAACCCTTCCTTCAAGGTGATTCTTTAATTAGCTCACTGCTCCCTAGTAGAGGTTTGGAGATAGTTCTTTGGAGTATAGCAGTAAAAGACAAGAACCACTTCTCATCTAGAGAACATGATGTCTTCCAGGGAACAGCTTCTAAGAAACCATGTTCTTTTAAAAGTCAGTTACTTCTTACAGTCCCCATCTAAGAAAACTGTAGAGAACTTGTAGCTGCACAGAAAAACAGAGGTTGTATTGAGGTTGAATAATACTATGACCTCAATATTTTTCCCTTCCTTTCTTTAAATTGGTCTGGATTTTTTTCTGGGGATACATAAAATATCTCCCAACTGCACAGCAAGAAGGAACAAATGGGCATCCTTTAAAATTCCCCTGCATTTATAGCAGTGTGGAAAGATGAAAGGTACACTAAAAGTGTATCCTTCTTAGGAAGTTTGGGAAATAGTAGTATTGGCTTCAAATGTTGTTCAAATGAAGCTTGTTCAGATGTCCAGAAGTCTCTAAGGTGGCTACAGAAACATGAAGATACTGATACACAAAAAAGCACTGGGAAACCGACCCAAATCTATAAAATGGACCCAAATCTAGCACCCAAAGCTATAAAATATGAGAAGCTGTACTTACACTGCAATTTCTTGGTTTTCTATTACATTGAAACCTACTTGGTCTCATCCCATGAGGGAGACATCTACAAGAAGCTAACAATAATAAAGATCTGTATACTTATTTCATAACCAGGTTTATGTGTGCAGAAACCAAGTGTCTACAACTATACTTCAGTGTATTAATTTTTTTCTTTCACTGTAGTTCAATCCTTCCATATTGCTGACCAGCCATTACTCACACAGCAAGCACAGTCTGCAGAACTTGAATGGCAACGAGGCTTTAAAAGAACAGCAAGTTATTTAAAAATTCTCATCCTTTTAATCAAATAAAGATACAAAAGAAACTATCAGAGAAACTAGAACAGAAAAAAAAATATGGTTACCCTTCTTAAAGAAGTGGGGCATGATATCTGGACCTAACATTAAGTACCAACACATTCTTACCTGCAATGTAAGTGCACCATACTAGAGCAGAGATAAAGAATCACTTTCTAGTGGTGTTTTCTTAACAAGTGCAGCTAGAATATTAGATTAATGAGACTCAATGTTGTATTATCTAATATGAGCCACCGGCACAATTTGTTGGTCCATGATTTTGGGGAATAAGAGAAAGCAGAATGTGAAACCAAAGAATGGCAAAATGACCACTACAAAGCAGCTGAATGGCCTCAACACTAAAACAATGACATTATTGGCATAGGTTAAAAAAGGACAATATGAAACTAATTAATAGCTTTCCACAAATAGTCATATAAAAAGTCACTTACATGTTATATTTTCTAACATTAGTTAAGAATGGATTTTTTTAAGCATGTGAGTTGTTACATGTAGTACTTAAACACTGTAGATATTTTAAAACTATTGTCTTGGATGTCCTAAAGCTCTTGTCGAACACCTTTGTCAAAACATGTGCTATGTACCAAGCAGCTATTCCTGTAAAATGCTGCTCTCCCAACCTTATTACAGAAAATCCCTCTGAAGTTAATTTCTGTCCAGAATGCTGAGTATATGAAGGCTCCTCTAGTAGAATTCTGCCCTAATTCACATTGACTCTGAAGCTGGATGACATGTAGGTATGCTTTCCCAAGGGGTGTTACATGGGTTGAATGTTAACTGAAAAATCAGGAAGACCAAGTCTGCATACACCGTTTCATACATTAAGAAGTGTGTGTGTTCCCTCTCAGATCACAGCTGCAGAACCAACATGCCAGTAATACAGAAACATTTACTTCTGTAGTAGGTGTTCCAGTCACCATGAAAACATCAGAGCATAAGTTTCAGTATGGCATTGCAATTGGCGAGTAAACCCAGTATTTATGGAATGACCATCCTGCTCAGCCACTGGTTCTTCACTGCAGCACATACGTGCTGGCTTTAATAACACATTTGTTTGCCCATGTTGAGAGCAGACAAAAGGCAAACTTTTTCCCCTCTGCTGGCGCAGACAGTCTTGTACTCTGTTGCATTATAGTGGAATTATAGTGCAATAACTGTTAAAATTATAGTGTAATAAGTGTTGATGTAAGATGGCTTTTTAGTAGCAAATGATCATAAATTCTACAGATGTGCTGGATGTGAACTTTGCAAACAATTCTACATTTCAGTGTCTATTACAGATTCTATATGTTCTTGCTGATGTACATTATCACCTTCCAAACAATTCAGCTGATTCTGTAGAACAGCAAGAATTATCATGCTCCATCCACTCTTTCTTTTAGTTGCAACATCTATTATGTACACTACTTAAAATGCTCCATAAACCCAGTTCCTTGTGTCTCCTGCAGTCTTAGAATTCCGGTCTTTAAATACATGACAGTCCCTGGCATGGAAAACTAAGGGATTTATTCTGAAGCAGGAAGTGAGGTACTCTCGGGGGTCAATTATACAGTTTGCACTGGCTGTTTCATTCTCAAAACCCTGTTCCTCTTCTCCTCCTCCCGGCAGAGCTCCCAGGCCTGCGGCAGGGGCTGGTCTGGGTCCTGACTTGTGGAAGCTGACGGTACTCACTGAAAATGTGTGCAGTGCCAAAAACATGGGAAGAGTTGAATTCAGTGACTGAAAGTGAAGTGCATGGAGTCTGACAGGAATTTGCCAGCTGAGGAGTGCCACTGCAGTGTCAACTGTTAAAATAAAGGAGACATCCTTCACTTCCACTGGCAGCGGGAAACATCCAACTATATTTGTACCGAAAGAGCAGGATGAAAAAGAAGGGAATAAGATCAGTAGGGTAAGTGATGTGGGCTGATGCCAGTCACTTCTCTGACTAGCTTTCGTTACAGTGTATGAGAAACAACATTGTTTCATGTCCAAAACATTTAGGTTTTCCTTACAAGAATACACTTGTTAAATGCAATCCTACTCCAGTTTTGTATCTTCTCGCATGCGATCTTTCAGTTTTTAACTACTATTTTATGACGTAAGACAACTAAGATCTTATGTCTCAAAGTAATCTACATTTATGTTATAGTTTAAGTGATGGGGTTGGTATTTGTTGGACTAAAGCCAGCCAAATCAGCGTGAACTATCTCATATGTAATGAATTTAGAGAAATGGGTGTGTGTAGAAAATGCTGAGACCCACCCCTGGAGATGTTTAAGGGCTATGGGAACTGTGGAGTATCTCACAAAGCTTTAAATGGCATAAGGGAGGCTGCCAAAGCCCAGCTGACCAGGAGCTTACTTGTGAGCAGCAATCAATACCTTCCCAGTACGCAGGTATGTCCGAGCTCCACCCGTGGCTGCAGCGCACAGGTCAAGTCTTACATTCAGGCATCTCCTCTATATTGTATCACTGGAAGTCAGAGTGATCACTCACATCTCATCCAGGTTTCACCGGGTCAAGCATTACAGATTTAACAGGAACCTCGGGGTGCAGTGCAAGGGAAAGACTGCTCCTATGTGAAGGAGCAACAGAGGAGGCTCTGTATGGAATCCCAAATTCTATGCTACGGTGAGTTCTGACAGTCTAAGGCTCAGTAAGTTCTGATTTGACCAGGCAGACCAAGGAAATGAGGTTTCCTGAATTCTTCCTCAGTGTCTCAGGAGGTAGGGATTAGCGCTGCTTGTTTTGCTGAAGGTTTAATGCTTCAACCTGCTCAGTGCTTTGAAGTGCTATTGATTGATTTGGGAATTATTAGCTACTGCAATAATGACAAATAAATTTGTGGAACAAGAAGAGAAGAAAATACACAGAGCTGTTTAACACTGTCACAAAACAGAGAGTCTTAATTCTACAAAGCTCTTCTGTTAGAAATGGACACAAAGAACAAGAAAGGGTTAATTCATCACCTCCAGGTTACTCTCATAGTTTAGAAAAAATATTCTTATTGTTGCTTTAGCAAATATCAACCTCTTTTGGAGTAGGAGGTTCTGAGGATCCTTGCCTAGCTCCTGAATAAAACTGTAAGAACATGGAAGATGCTGAAGAAATCCTGAATTGTGTGATAGGCCCGTGATGATAGGTTGATTTATGGACAAAGTTATTTTTATCCATAATAAACTTCAGGTAAATGAAAAACTTGAACTTTACAAAACTACCCAAAGCAGAAACTTCTGATTCACAAGGAATCAGATCTTAATGGCAAAATTTAGGTTAGAAAAAAGTAAAGTTGTTTCCACTTCATTCTTAATTTCCCTCTCCATATAAAGGTATAATTTTGTTGGGGTTCCCTTGGGATAGTGCTATCTATAAACCTTCCAGGAAAAACTGGTAAGCCTGCTCAGGAAAGGAATCATAAGGGCTGGGAAAATATGACATCCACATTTGGTTTTGTTTTGTAGTTTGTGTACATTTCCTCAAACACTAAACGACATTACCAGCCATATGGTTACATTTTCCAGCAAGTGTTGCCACTAACTTGGACATGTGGCTTTGTATGATGATGTAAACATTGCTCAAAAATACACAGCCTTTCCTGAAACACAAACAAGCCACTGCCTATCTATCAGAAATGTTCTTTACTTGGCGGGTTGTAACATATAAAAGCATATATTGAAAAGAGAGGATTGCTTACCTCAAAAATATAATCTTTTCCATCCTTTCCATGGACAGCTTTAACGGCACAGATGTCCAAACCACCAAATATTTCAGAACAGGTGTCAACCCAAAGCTTGTACCTGTTTTGTAAAGATAAGTTTCTCTGTGAGTATCTCATCAGGCTCTTGTTTGCCCACAGGCTCACCCAGGAATGTATTTTACAGAACATTTGCTCTAAATGCAGAATTGACACTTGACTGTCAGTTTTACTCAATTTGTATTTCCCATAACAGTGGCTGAGAGATCCTGGCCTGATTACTCTGCTTTCCCCCAGTAGAATCCAGAAAAGCTGTGGCTCTGCATCCTGACCCACTGTGATGCTGGATTCTATCGCAGTTCATATTGGTCCAAACATGCATCTGCTCTAAACTGTGAGTAACCTGAAGAGGTTGAAACACAAACAGCACAGCTGTACCCCACCCTGCCCTTTGAGTGCCCTTATGCAGGTACAGACGATGCAAGAGGAACAGACATACAACACTATATAAGAGTTACACAGCACACAGGCAAGGGTAATATTCTTCATGTGGGATTATAGACAACCAGAGCAAAATCCAACTGCAATGTAGAATTCCTCAGAATTCTTTACAACTCCTAAAAAAGGGCAGTGTTTCATACAGTACTGAACAGAAGAACTTCACTGATTTTCAAACCTCATAGTAAGAAATATGGACTGAGGAAAGGCCACTTTACCCAGTCTACATGGAGAAATAGGAGTTACTTTTCTTTCTCTATGAATAGAGAGATTATCTGACTAACAAGGGAATGAAGTGGGACTTACTAGAGAAAGAGTGAGGCAATTCCTGTGATCAAGGACCAAACTGCTGGGACAGAACAGGAAGCCATAATGCTTTGCTGAGGTGATGTAAGCTGTGTGTGTTTGCTCAGGGGCAAGGACTGACTCACAGGACACAAAACAGCATTGAGAACTTTGATTAGCTAATGTCCTAGCTGTGCATGGGTACTGGGAAGTGATGAGATGATCCTGAAAGGTTACAGAGCCAGACAGCATAGCTCCACCAAATGAAGGACATTTTGGTTAAACCCCAAAGTTTTAAAGCAGGCATTTATCATGGACTTTTTTCTCTTTCATTGGCCAGCATTTGAGTATAAATGAGAGCTATTTCCTTTTAGAAACCCTCTCCTGAGCCAGCCTTTGAGCCACGATGATGGATTTGCCACATCATAGTATTTTCCATTGCAAAAAAATTGCTGTAATAAACATAGCATTTGACTTCACTGTAGGATCAAAGGAAACTCGTTACGGGCCGAGAGTCTTATTCATAAATAAATATCTTCAGTAATAGCATCCTTTCCAAGTAAACTTATTAGGTCACATTCTTTATATTTTCTTCTATCAAATCTGTTCCAGTGGCAAAGGTTTATTTTAAGCAGAATACAAAGACATCGATACAACTGTTTGAAAAGATCCTGATGGTAATATTTTAGCAATGAAAGTAAGTATTTTCCTGTGAGAAACATGTTTTTTGTCCAAAATGTTTTTTTGGATGCCTGACAATTTCAACATCTGTAGATGCACTGACTGCCCGGGCTTGCTTGCGTGCACTTGCTTAGAAGTAACTTCTTTGCTGTAAAATACCAATGTGTATCTCAGAAGTACCTTAGAAAGTCCTGAGGGCTGCAAAACTTGTCTTTAAGAGTAAATATCTGGACTTCACATGAAAAGAAATTAAGACATTTTCTTTAAAATACTGAAACATGAATCAGATCTATGAAAATATTTTTAATAGTCTGTCTTCTGCCAACAAACGCAGAGCTGGAAAAATAGAGCTACATTTGGAAGGAGAGGTCTTGGATGGACTAACTTGTAGTGTTTTAAACCCAAGGCTTGCCCAGTAGGTTTGACAAGAGGTCATGGTTCTTTTTTCCAGAGCAGACATAGTGTGCAGCAGCCTTGGAACTGTCAGATCATGAACTATTGCTCCTCGGGTGTCTGACATGACATGTCTGCTGTGCCAGAGAGATGGGCACACTCGCAGAGGGGAGCAGTGCCTCTCTGAAATAGAGGGGTCCATAAGAGTGTGCACCACTGAAACGGGCTTGTTCTCCACCTTGTCATGGTCCCTCACTGTGCCATGTTCTTCTTTCTTCTCTAGATTTCTAGACTAAGATTTGTATTCAGCCAACAATGTCAACTCGGGCAGTGCTTCCAAAGCACTTCTTCCTAATTCATGACACTTCCTGCGCATGAAATACACATGCATCAGACTGGGTTGCTTTTGGTATGCTGTTAACTACCTTCACTCTTCAAGAAACTTCAGTTTGCCCTCCTCTTCCTTGCTCTGTGTTGTGCATTTCAGCTGGTAATCAAACAAGAAGCAGGGCTATGCAATACATACCCCTTTCTGTTATGAGAAAACATCCACCTTTACCATGCTTTTTTTTCATCAGCATAAAAGAAGTTTTGGGTTGTTGGCTAGTGTTTTTCTAATGGCAAAATACCTATTACATTCTACTTACATTAAAAAATGGAAGCAGAAGTGAAGCACAGAGAGCATTCACAGGGAGGTAGCTAGGCACGGGTGAGCATTTCATACTCATTACCCACACTTGGTATTGTTTAGTTTCCCTTATGGCAAGACTAAAGTGCCTGTGTTTGTACAGAGGAATAGCTCATGCACTGTAATTACACACACTGAAGCACTTTCTTTTCCCTCTCAGAGAAGACATAACCTCACTTTCTAAAGGAAGGTGAGGGAAATGAGAAAGAGAAAATAATGTGGCTCCGCTCCATCCCCAGAGGAGAGATCAGAGAGGACACAGTCTAGACAGGGGTTGGACAGCAAGAGTTGTAATTCCTGTCTTATTTGTTTTCACCTTTCCAGGGCAGGCAATGGTTCAGTTTCTCTGTCTCCCTCAGCTCATAAGAGGGACCAAGTTGTAGGTTTCAGGCTTTAAAACAAGAACAACCCACAGAACAACCACACCACACACCCCCAACAGCAACAGACTACTGCTGAGCGTGGAAACACCTTATAAATTACACTGCTATTGTACAGACAGTGGCAGCAACCCTTGGAGAAGCTGAACAAAAAGCTGAACAAAAAGAAAAAAGCTTCAAACACTGTAGCATGGGGTAAGACAGTTGGGGAAAAGGGTAAATGAACCAGAGGAAATGGCTGACAGGTTGAATCCAAAAACTGGAATTTTCTGAAGAGAATTGCAGTGGTTTTCTAGGTGCAGATAAGGATGTAGGAACCCAAGGGTGCAGCACCTAGTACTACGCTAAGGCTAGTACTTAGTTTGGGTAGTGAACTCTGAGTCAAGTCATTTGGAACTCCTGGCTCATGTTTGTTAATTTTTCCAAACGGAACAAGACACATGCATTTCCTGTGCAGAGCAACAGTGTAATGTTAAAAACTTCATTTAAAACAAAACTCCATCAGTTTGGGGTTTTTTTAATTACCTTGTACATGAGATTCGACTTACTTATCTGACATAGCAATTTGTTCCAGCATTGCAGAGCCCGTGTTTGTCTTCCAGTTTCCGGATATGGAAGTTCTCCTGAAAGGGGGAAAATATTACAAAGACAGCCAGTGGTTTTATACTTTCACTCTCTCTTAAATTGCTCTGATTGTCCCATAAACACTGTAGCAGTGTTTACACCTTTTTCATGCCTGGCAGCTTGCGACAGAGCATCTAAATTGTGAAGACTTCTAACAGGCATCAGAGTGTCAGTAAGACCCGCTCTGCTGTAGGCACGTTGTGCAGTATGACAGGGCTGTGATCTGGTGTTCCCCACTCAGGCAGTTAAGACTTTTCTTTGTAAAAAAGCTCCTATGACAAAGTGAAAGCATTACCAGGAGGTTGTTATTGGTTATAAAGGGTAGAATAGCCTGTAACATACTGGTACTGCAAATATCAACAAACTGAAGCTTCAACTTCTCATTTCAACTCCGTTCTGCTGCAAGGTTAGGTCCCAATACTGGAAAATCGAGATAGCTACATTTTTTAACACCTCTGAAGTGATCTCAGATCTCTTTTAGAGCTGGATTTTGGTTTGTTCTACAGTGTTCACTCTTTGCTAGTTTACTACTATAATCCAAATGGTTTACATCAGTGCTTGAGTGCACCCTCTTCTATTTAATCCTTAAGAAAAAAAATCTATAGAGTTTATTTCTCCACAGATCTAGCACTGCTACCAGGGCTGAGGAGATTGCTGTTCTCTGAAACCTAAATGCTGTACTGGGAATAGGCGAAGGATACAAATTATGAAGTGTTTCCACTGTGAAGTTAGTGAAATAATAGGAACATCTGTAATGTATTAAAAGTATATCAGGCAGCAACTATAGTTTTCTCTCCATTTTTCTATTAACCTCATTATGAGGGTCAGTAGCAGTTGTGGGGGAATGCTGACTCTCCTATGTTGTGTTCTCTGTTGATGTGGGAGAAGGGGGAACGTGCATGTTGAGTGCTGTGCATAAACTTGCACAGTAATAAGGCTATTTAGTGATTTCTGTTTCATTTTCTAAAGTTATATTTATATATATCCATCCCTGGCAGTGTTCAAGGCCAGGCTGGATGAAGTCTTGAGTGACATGGTTTAGTGTGTGGTGTCCCTGCCCATGGCAGGGGGGGTGGAACTGATCTTAAGGTCCTTTCCAACCCAAACCATTCTATGATTCTATGTCTCTACTTATAAATGAATAATCGTAAGTTCATTACTACTCTGCACACATATGCTGCATCAGAGAGATAATACTTCTCACAAATCACAATTAAAATCTGTTGCAGGCTTCTCAAAGGCAATGTACTATTTAAAGTGTCTTTGAGGAAGCAAGATGTGACCAACTCAGAGAAAAAAAAGACCTGTTGAATTGTCCTGAAGCCTTTTAACAAGTATCTAGTTCAAGATCCTCAGCTGCACTGAGGCAGTCTCAGCACTACTGACTAGAGAGGAAAAGGTGGTTTGCTTTAAGCCATGCTTTCACTCTGTGACCTGAAAGGTCCCTGTTGAAGCTGAAGCAGTCTCCTGACTGGCTGCTTGGCTGGCTGCAAGGATGGTGCAGAGACCAGGCGAGGCCTGAGAGGAACACTATGGACACAGACCTGACTGGTGCAATCTCAACAGCTTGTGGGCTGGACGCAGAACTCCAGGGAACAACAGGGGTTCCATTAGACCATGGTTAAGTGATACAAAAAGCACCCAAACAGAACAGCTGGCACCTGAAACCTTAGGTATGATTCCTGTAATTCGTACATGGTTTCCTCTACTGAAATATTAAGGTTTCCCTCCCTCCTTCACTTCTATTCTGATAATTGCTAAGGGTCTTTCACACTGTCATTTTTCTCCTCTTCTACTCAATACTGAAGAGTATACCAAATGCTGAATGTACCAATACCAAATAATACACCAAACAAATCCTAACACTTTTGAGTGCTTTACACTTAGGCTTAACATATTTTCGCTCAGTTAGGTCTTTGCAAAGAAGGAAGAACTTTTAAAACTGGGGAAAAAGGAATTATGATTATTCTAAACAATTCGTAGTAACTTGTGCTTCCCCTTCTCCAACTCCTTTCTGCCTTCTTTAGTACCATTTAAAATATAAACTGTTGGGACAGGGACTTGTCATCAGAAAAACACATAGAAATGTCTACCTGCAACTCTTGTGTAGGTGGCCTGCTTAGGGTGTGGTTCTATAGCACTGCTGCTCTTTGGTGTAGATGTGCTCTACTTTTGTTTTACTGACCTTCTGATCAAAGTACAGCAAGTTACGGATTTACAGTATTGCTTTTGGAGGGGAGATCTGGATGTAGTGGTTTTGTACTGCTGTTTTTCTTCATTGTGTGTGACCCTTTTAACTCTATTTCCTTGAAGTCAGATGAATTCTGTAATGGTACCAAGTGCAGTTAAATATGCGTCATGCAGCGTTTTGAGGAGCTGTGGTATTTAGAGGGATCCAATGCTGCATTTGGGCTATAATCTCTACTGACAGATGATAAGCACCAGTGTTTTGTGAGTCATAGATCCACTTATACCACAATTTCCCACAGCATTATAAAACTGAAGCTCTTAATAACTCTCCTTTAACTACAAACCCAAACGTTTCACTGGTATTTTTTGTGGTGGCTCTCTAAGTACTCTGTTCCTGTGTCACAGACCAAAATGAGAACCAGCTGTAAACAATATTCTACTGACATAATGTATGTGTATGCACATGAAGAATTTCTCAGACATTTGGTAAATCTCCTCTTCATGATGCTTTGTAGCAATGGACTGGTATTGCATGTTTTGGTGTGATTTAATCGTATGAAAGAATCTGGAGAACAAATGCCTGCTAGGCTTCTAGCATTTGGATGAACCCACAGTTTCTGAGTAGAAACTTAAAAATAAATAAAAGGTAGGAGGAGCAGACTGTCATTTTAGCTTATTTTTGCTGTCCCTTAGGCCAATGTTTCTTCTGTGAAGAAACATTTATGTTTGAAAATGATAAATATACCATTGGCTGAATCTTCCAAAATTATTCCAGACACTGAACAGCATTTAAATTTCCAGTCAAATAAAAAAGTGTAGGGCTCTCTCCTATGAAATGCAAGGTCCAATTTGTACCGTAGGGAACGAACCATCAAGTTACTAATATTGGATCTGAGTGCAGGTATCTGGTGGTGTGTCATAACCATTAAAAGTTGGGCCTTATCCCTAAGACTCTGCCACTCAGGAGCTTTAAGACAGGCAAATCAACGCCATTTATTTTAAACAACAGAGGAGGGGTAGCACAGCATGAGAAATCTGCCTGTCAAAGCACCAAGAAGAGAGAAAATACTAGCCTAGCCTTGGAGAAGCTGAAGTAGCATGAAAAGGTCTGAGACAACAGAAGGCTGACTGCTGACTGGAAGGAGAGGCTGCTGAATAGCACTGAGTAGAATAGAAGGGGCAAGGGAGAACCCACGGCAACAAAAAAAGTGAGGCATAAGGAGAAAGGACTAAGAGACACAAAGGTAGAAGTCATCTGGGAAAGTGGTGGGACTGGATCAAGATATGGTGTGGACAGAGAGGAGAGAGGTGACCTTGGGCTGCAACAGTATGGTGCTGTTAGAAAAAGGAGGATGGATCTCTTCAGACATGGGGCTAAAGCCAGGAAAAGTTAACAGTTTGGAACATCAATATAAGCCAAACAAGCAGAATTGGAATTAACTTCCCCGGAGCAGCCAGGGGCTAAAGGCTGTATCATTCAGGAGCACTTGTTTATGACTCTTATTGCCTATAGGGAGAGGTTGGGTATGCCCAACACACCTGAAATTCTGTAGGGAGCTTCTGTCAGAACACTGAAAATCACCAACCGACAATTCCAGAAATATCTCTATCCTCACAAGCTTTTTGAGTCTTATGCCTTGTCACTGTGTACAACTCAATTTTCCAACACACTTCTTTTGCAAAATGTAGGTATTTCTGGGTTCAGAATAAAGCAGAAGGATTATCCATAGTGCTGGGTGGACCTGATCTACGGCAATGGTATTTCCATCAGCGCTGGGCTGTGCTTTGTTAAGGCCCCTCAGATGCACAGTGAGAGGCAGGTAGACTAGTGAGTGGTTCCTGAAAGGCCTCATCTTCGGTATTCTTTCTCAAATACCCCTTAAAGTCGTATGTCAGGAGAGGCCAGCAGTGATTCATGCAGTTTGGATCTTGTGACAGTAATGTCTCAGGGGAGAAGTCAAGAGCACGTGGCCTTCCAGTATCAACCCAGGGTGAGGTATTTTGCCCCTTCTCCCAACCCTGTGCAGGTTTTACTTTCTCACAGAGCTTGCTGGCTGTTCCTGAATTACTTGACACTTAATGCTAATCCTGTCCTTCGTTTTACAAAACATTTTACCCATTTTCTTTAGCCCAGCTTCAACTTGTGCTTCTCTTAGGATTTATGAGTCTGCTTGGAGTTCAGTTGTTTTTACTGATAAAGAACTTGGCTGTACCTTATGAACATCAACATACAAAGAATCTCTCATCCCTCCAATGTTACAAGAGTTCCTAGAGAAATATCTTTGCACGTGTGGTGTGCATATGTCAATGTATGTGTGTATTTTTATCCATGTTTTGTCATTTTTTTTCTGCCTCAGAAGTGTAAGCATGAGGGAGCAAAGACATGAGATGACCTAACTTGTCTAAAAAAACAGGAATGAAATGAGTCTATGTCAGATTACATTGCCTGATAGTTGAAACAGACTGAAAATATGCATAAACACAGTTACCATGGCTCAGCTACTACATGATAACCTGCTTTGCTGCTGTAGTCTTATCTTGTCTGTGAAACTGAAACACCCTTGTAGCCTGTCGTATAGTCAGGATCTTTAAACAAACACCTGGACTCTAAAGTTAGAAGAGATTTTCATCCATATGTGTGAAGGCCACTGTGAGATTAGAATTATTCCTACATGTGTTATGTTAAAAGGAGAGTACTTTGTTGCATTAGAGTGTTATGATCCAGGTTTGTGTGAAGGAATGCCACCTAACTGCCCTTACAGAGAGAAGAAAAATGGACCCAAGGTTGTTGAAAAGATACAAAGAAATATGATTTAACAAGTCCTCCTCAAAGCAAATCCCCTTCCAAATGCTTCTTTCAGTAAATGAAGAAGTAAACCAAGGTTAGCAGGAAAACCCCTCTGGCAGGCTCACCTGGTGTCTTATTCTCCTCCTCCCAGCCACAACCAACTCTTGATAAATCTGGAAAGCCTATAACACTTTCTGCCCAGAGAGGCACATCAGCTCAGAGACTCATCCAACAGGCTTAATCTTATTGGTGCTTATCAAATTTGAAACAAAAGGATGAAAGAACATAAGGTATTGGCTCACATGTATGCTTTGTAGTTACTGCCTATCTTTTGGATCCTGATGTCATATTTGGAGTCTATGAAGGGTTCAGTAGTGGCGTAGGTCTGAGTAAGTGCTACCACGCTGGCTATGTCCTGAAAATCGTAGTGGTTTTCTACCTTGATCTGCAGTCATCATACCACAAGTAAACAACATATACAAAAGAAAAAAGAGTAATTAGGAATAAAATGTAGAATTCAGTTGCAAATGGCAAATGGCATTCTCGAGAAGCATGGCTTTTGAGAGCATCAGTTTATTAAAAGAAAAAAGTACTGGCTATTTGATCTGATCTTGAGATTCTGTAACATTCCAGCATTAAAGTATCTATTTTTTACACAAAATATTACCCATCATCTGTAGGAAACAATTCGTAGATGGTGGAATTTTATGTTGCTGTTTATTTTTGTGGAGTGGTGGTTGTCAATTAGATCTGCAGGCTGTAGGGGTTTTCAAGGTGTGAGAATCTGCCACACTGGCTTATACACCATTCTTGTTCATTCTGTAAATTGCTGATGTAACTGAATGTACACGGAGTCCACCATGAACTGTCACATCACCTATCTCCCAGGAGAGAGGAGATGAAGGGTCCTGACATCCTAAGGAGTGAACACTTACATGGAGCACTGAGGGTTGGCTCAAAGGAGTAAAACCAGTTTTCCCCATTTTTCTCACTTCTCTGCAAGGAGTCAGGCTTTTAGGAGTAGGATTTCCTGACTGTGGAATACATGGATGGTTTAATACCATCCACTATGGTGGATGGTATTAAACCCATCAACATCTTGACATAAGGGAGGTGGAAAAATTGAGGGGAATATTGATATAGAGGGAGAGGGAGGAGGAGGCTGTAGAGGACAGATGGAGGACAGAGGCATCACTTTTGGACAGGGAGGGCACATCTCTCCAGTCGACTTAAAGGAAGCTGGCTGAAAAGGAGAGAAAAAGTGACTCAGAAGAGAAGTCTTAGGGCTGGTAGAAAATTGGAGAGGGAAATTGGATGCCCAACATGCTGACTCCAAGTACAGTTCAGAAAGGTGAGGAAAGGAGGCAGGGATTAGTATTTCTCATGTTACCTAATATTAGGGGAGTTTGCAGGTCTTTGCAAGCCAGTGTCTTGTTTGCTTCCACTGTCACCTGGTACTTAAAAGGGAACCTGTGGGCCAGTGTGCCCCAGCTGAGAGATGGGATCAAATGGAGTCTAGCGAAGCTAAAAGAAGTCATAAGGACTAAGTATTTGCTCTCAACTCTCAGCTGGAGAACAACAGAAAGTAATTTGCTGGTTGAGAGCCACAAAACCAGACACAATGCCTGCTTTCAACTTGGTTTCTGAAAACTTAATAGCATGTGTGAGTCTAATTGCAACCAGTGGAACCTCTACTCCTTGCAATGCCTGTCAGGAGGACTGGGGCATGAGGAGAACCTTTGTTTGGACTCAGAAGCATCGTACTACAAAAGAACAGCAGTTGATCTTTCAGGATTTAAAATCTTTTATAGCTAAAATTATCTATTTCTAGACATTTGATATGCTGAACATTTGTGTGTGTTATTTCCCTTTTCTAGAAATGAGAGGTGAATATTGAAAGTACAATATGAACATTCTAATACTTCACATATGCAATCCACAGAAAACTGCAGTTTAAGGAATCAGTGGTTAATTCTGCTCTTAATTCTGCTGGATTTCCACTGACTTACTAAGAGTGAAATAAAGCAAAACAGTCATAAGCAAAAGAACATAACATACAGTACAACTTGCATAATTACTGAATAAAATACGATTTAATCAGTTTTGTATTTGTATTACTAGTGGCAAATATTATGTTCATGGAGCTTTTGGAGATTCAAGATAATAAATGTAACTATTTTCTGATGATTTGGTTTAAAATCTAAACCACTTAAACCACTGAAGTGTTTTCAGTGCCAGAAAGTGGTTAATCTATAATGACTAGAAATTTTCACCTATGTCAATGATAGCCAGATTTAAGTCAATTCCCACTGAATCAGCATTGTGAGATAAGTGATATCAAAACAGCTGTACTCACCACTGAAATGCAATTACTTTGGAGAAAGAAAGCAGCAGTTATATAGTGGTATGAAACAATCACAGAGAATACATTAAGATAGGAAATGAATAAAAGTACAGTATAGAGCTGAAACTAATAAGAACCAAGGCAAAACCTTCCTATATTCCCAGGTCCAGTAAGTTGGACTGTGCAAACAGAACTTGACTCTTAAATAGTTTCATTTCAGTCAACTAAATTCATAAGTAAGGTTCTGTTTTGAGAAAGCATCTCAGCACGTTTCAAAGAACACTCTAGATAGGACAACACGTAAACTGAAAAGGCTTCAAAGTGAAGTATTATGGGTTTTAGTATTTTCCTGAAGAGAGATGCCTTCTCAACTAATGTACAAGCAGGGATTTGCAAGGGTAGGGATCTGAGACAGAATGTGGATAATGAAAAGTTAAACTATCCAGGAAACAACAGAACATGCGTGTTATTTTAGACAAACACCCGGCCTCCTAACATGCAATAAGTAGCATCTGCACCTTTCCCATGCCTGAATGAGCATGTCCAATCTTCACAACAACAGGAAATGTTGGCATTGTTAGCTGAGGGGGAAAATAAGAAAGACGTATTAGAGATTAGAGACAGCAACCAGGAGTTAAGTGATTAAACTACATCATTTATGAAAATTATTTAAGCATGACCATAATGCAGCCAAAGCTGTTCTTGCCACGGGGTTACTTGAACTGCTGCTCATCTCCCTACAGCTGTGTATGTGCTGATGAGTTACTGCAGGTGTTTTCAGAGGGCCGTGTTATTCCCAGTACATCCAGTTGGTGTACGAGCATTTTAACTTTCTTGTATGTCTTTCTTCACTTTTTGAACTGAATTTCTGCTATTTCCTATTTTATGGTTTGTTATGGTGTTTTCTGACCCATAAACTCACACTCTCCAAGGTTACGATCATTAATTATGTCAAAATAATCACCTTCTTTACTTTTCCCTTTGATTTCTACTATCTAGCAAGGCTGGAAATTCTTTTTGTGACTACTTATGAAAGAATGATGTCTAATTCACCAAAACCCCTTTCTTTTAAGGCAGTTCCTAGCTTCTGTTACAGAATATCCAAGTTCTGTAGGGAAGGCTCCAGCTTCTGCACGAATGCAAGTAATAATTCAGCCATTGATTAGGAAATCAAATATACAAAGACATGAATATGGTTCTGTCTCTTGGAAAGCTCTGTGAATATCCAGTTTTACTTCCATCATTCGTTTGAAGCAGTTTTAGATCTCCCAGTCATGGGATCTCCCAGCCAAGCATAAACACAAATACTGAGCAGAACAGGAAATAAAACAGCAGAATAGAAATAAAAACCTGAATACCCTCAACATGTACTTACACTGGGCAGCAGCAGCAGCACGGGAAGTGTTACAGGGTCTGAAACCTTCCTTTAGTACCAAACTTTCACACAGCAAACACAATCAAACACAAAGTTGATGCTTTAGAAAATAAACTAAGAATTCCTACAGATTTTATGAAAAAATTACTTTCCAAATACTTTCAAAGGCTTGTCAAGAGGTTAAATGGTGTTCACACTTATCTGACTGTGCTCTGCACAACATTGCACAGCAACTCACAAACACCAACACATATCTACATGGAAAATGTCCTGGGATTCAAAAAACTGACATTAAGATCAAGAGATAAAGAATAGGAACGTCACTTGGCTTGTGGTAACATCCAAACCTACTTGCAGGGTTATAAAGCTAATTCAAATTCACATGTGCTTTTCCTATACTTGAAATACGTATTTTCAGAATAATTTAAGGATTGCTGCTTTAAAACTTGCAAACCTGCACAAGAACAAGTAGGCACCCACGGCCTGGTCCATATGCTACACTACTTACCATCAGATCCCCTGTACAATACACGTATCAATTTCTTTTCCTTTGAATGGGCTTTTTCTGACCTTCCTGAAATGCAATATAGGTTGTTCTGACTTTAAAACACACAAAGCACATGCAAGCAAACACACCTACGTGACTTCTTTTTGTTTTGACAGAACATCAGTTTCTGCTCTACCTGATCAGAAGAAAAAGGAGGAATCTTTGGATCTACCCTTTCAACGTACCAGAGTTTTCAAAGCCTGAACCTACTGGGTCCTACAGTTGTCAGCTGTGCAACACAGGCCATGGAGGTTTGCCACTGATATCTGCATCAAACCTAAAGGTAGGGCTAGTATGGCTTCTTAGGAGAAAACTACATTTGATTTAAAGACTTGCAGTCACAAAACATTTCTTGTAATCCTAGTTAGTTTTGTACATTAGTTAAGTGAAGATGTCATGTATCTATCTTCTGTCAGGGCATCCTCAAGGTTTGAAGTCAAGGATTACCACCACAGGAGAGCAGATCACTCTGAAACCCAGCTGGTAGTGCTTTCTATTGCATGCGAAACTGTGGCTGCCATAATTTCAGTTCCTGCATAAAGTAACTCCTATTTTGTGCAGGAATTCTGGGTACTTAGGCTAACACTGTAGGAATCTGTAACTATGAAAACTGAAAGTCTTTTATTTAACTCTCATTTAGGAATCACTTCAAGCATTGGTCTTTAAATCCAAAATGCATTTAACTGCCGTTCACAGATCTCTTTCAATGTAACCAATTTAAGGCACATAGGCATGGAAACAATAGGTTAGTTTCAACATAGCCAAAAGCACATCCAAAAGCATTACACAGCAAAAGTCACCTGTACAGCAATTTAAGAATAAAGTTCCTGCTAGACAGTAGGAATGCAAAGTCCTGCACAGTCACCATCTAGTCACTTATTTATTGCTTTCAGATTTTAAAACTAGCCACCTTTTTTCCAAAGGTTTTGGGGGAGAAGGAGGAACAAATGATGCCTGACTCAACCTTCAGAGGGGCAGCACCACGTTCTTAGGATTGAGCTATAAACCACTGAACCGAGTTTGTAATGGAAATGCTGGCAGACTTCTAACTACTGCAGTACTAATGGCATTCCTGTAATTAAGGAGACCATGTATCTTCCCATGATTCCAAAGCCATGGAATCCTTGGTGGGCCACAGGAACACTATCTCAAATTAGAAAAAAAACCAAAACAAACTGAAAACTCTGCTTTCTCCCTCAGAAAAATGCACTGACATCATTTGAGGCAACGGAGTTCATTTTACCCTGGAGTCCAATACCCAGATTTCATGCAGATACCACATCCCAGCACAGACTGGGATGGCCTTTGATGGGAATTTCTGGCTTAACAGACTTTCACACATCTGGGATACAGCTGTGATGGTATCAGTGAAAACTTCCCAGCTCCACCAGTATCCTTTTAATTTACATTACAGTTACTTGGCAGAGAGATACCTGGAAAGATCTAGCAGGTACCAATGGATACAATCCATTTAGAGCAGATACTAATAAGACTCATTGCGTGTTTTCTTTGAAATGCATTGTTGAGGGGGAAAGGCTGTTTTACAAAAATACTGCTTATTTTTCAAAGGTGTTCTTAAATTCAGGAAAGCGTAAGTTCTACTGTGACAGTTAAAACTGGGGGAGATGGAAATGGACTATACTGCATGACCCCTTGCACATACATAGACATGAAATATATCTGAGTATTAACGACAACAAAAAAGATGAACAGGACTTAACACAACAAACAATCATTACTAGTTAGAAAACAGAATACATGTCAAGCACGTGATACAATTTTTTATAGTTACATGTGAATAGGATCAGATTGGTAATAAATATTAGCAGCAACTGGAAAAACTGTCCTGGCTTGTTGTAGGAACATACCTACAAACCAGTTGAGATACATTACTTGTATTTGAGATCATTAACCAAAATAACGTCACCAAGTATGAAAATGTTTCATCAGCTCCTGAAGATTACAGAGAGGGATTCAGCTGACACTTTCATTTCCGTGGTTTTAACTTCTTATATTGTCCTTTTAAACACGTGAAGTCTCATTTCAACAGAGCCTTAACTTAGAACAAGTTGCACAGCTTACTTCCACGACTGGCCTAAGTACTACTACTAGTAGGTACTACTTTGATCTGTAAACTTGAAGACATGTTCCCTAGGAGAGCAAAGAGTAGATTATATTTTGCAGATAAAAGGCAGTAGTAAAAAATCTTTTGAAGCAGAATCCTTTTAAAACCTGGGTAATAGAAGTTGATCTCTACGTTTCAGAGACATATTTAGCATGGCAGTTGCTTTACTAAAATGAAATGTCCTAATGGTTTCTGTCACATATTTATAGTGTGAATTTACCAACTTAATGACCAGGCAAATCACCAGGTTGTGACCACAGGGCACCTTCAAGCTGGGTGTTCACTCACGACTGATGTGATCTGAACGAGTATAGCAGTAACACTGTAAACGTCTGGCAGACCGGGCACTTCCCAAGTGTCAGCACTCAAACCCTGCCCTGGGGAACTGCACTGCAGAGGGTTCAAGGACAGAGGAGAATGAGGGATTAAATATTAGAAGTGATTAAATCTGTAATGGAAATCCAACAGTATATAACATGTCTATTTTTTTCCCTGTCCAAAGAACTGTATATTAGTATCTTCCATTCCAGAGCTGCTTGTGTATCTGCATGCTGCTTATGAACTCTTTACTATCACTTTATTTTACATCCCTACCAGTTACTTCATTATTTTCAAGGCAGTCCAGTTGAAAATAACTCTTTCAGCAGTGCTGCCTGAGTGTCACTGACAGTGCCTCTGTAACAGGCCTAATAGGGTTTTGTAGATGAACGCATTTGAAGTTCATTGTGGTCCTCACAGGAGCGATTCTTCTGAAATGAGTGGATTTGATTTTTCAGTCACGTACTTGCAATGGGACTACAGGAGTTGACAAACAGGCTCAAACTCGACCTTCTCTGGTACAGCTTCTAAATACCTTGAGCTCTGGAGTCCATAATCTCCACAGGTAGGCTGGAGACCAGTGCACAGGACTTGTACGTTCAAAGCACTTGTAGCAGCAACTGTAATATTCTTTAATTCTTTTACATTTCTGGTAAGAATAGAGAGAGCAACCCCTCCGCACCCCTCACTGGGGCAGATTCACCACCCATTCTTCACCAGATTCGTTCATGTTAAGTTTCATCAGAGCAAAGACAGTGCAGTAGGGACTCACAACAAACATTAGTTCTCCAATTTCCCACTTGCTCTTTTTGTTTCCCACACTCTTGACAGGCAACTAGCAAATCACTATAGCTGCAATGAAACTATTCAGATTTACAAACAGGCAAAGAACTATCTCAAACAGGATTTATACTGATGGAATTACTGAATCCAGGCAGAAATGTGACCCAATATTCTGAAGTTGCTGAATAAATGTGAATTAAGACAAGGGTGCATCACAGCAGCATGTTTCTCATGTCGTCAAGTCCCAGGATCAGGTCATGTCATCTGTTGGGTTGGCTAGCGTGACACCACAAAGCTATTTGAAACTGCTGGTGTTGGAAGCAGTATGTTATCAAATCACCCCCATTAAGGTTTTAAATGCTTTGGATTTTTATTCTTCTGTCCTCATAACTTATTACATCCAACTTTTCTATGATGCTAGGATGATTTGCAA